ATTGTTGTTTGGCAGGCCCAGGCTGGATTCGAACCTGCCAGCTCCAGTGTATGTGGCTTGCGCCCCCACCACTGAGCTACAGGCACCAAGCCAAGACCTTATCTCTAAAAAAATTATTTTGGCTGGGCGCAGTGGCTCATGCCTGTAATCCTAGCACTCTGGGATGCTGAGGCAGGTAGACACCTGGAGCTCATGAGTTCGAGACCAGTCTGAGCAAAAGAGACACCATCTCTATTTTAAAAAAATAGAAAAATTGAGGCAAGAGGATCACTTGAGACAAAGAGTTGGAGGTTGCTGTGAGCTATGACACAACAGCACTCTACCCAGAGTGACAACTTGAGATTCTGTCTTAACAACAAAAAAATAAAAATAAGCTAAAAAATGAAATAAAAAATTATTATTTTTTAAATTAGCCAGGTATGATAACTTGAGCCTGTAGTTCCAACTACTTGGGAGGTTAAGATGGGAGAATCACTTGAGCCCAGGAATTCAAGACCGCAGTGAGCTGTGATCATGCCACTAGACTCCAGCCTAGGCGACAGAGCTAAATCCTGTCTCAGAATAAAAAAGTGATCATGAAACATCTAGCAAAGTGCTTGGCACAGAGTAGGCAGTCAAATGCACTTATGAAATGAATGCTTAAAAGAGCACTCCCCGCCTCTACCCCATACAACTAATTAACAGAACTACTGAATAACTATTCTGGGCCAGGTACTGGTTGAAGAAAGTCAAGAGCATGTACAACACATGGCTGCTGCCCTCCAGGAGTCCATGGTCCGGTGTGGAAGCCAAAGGCTCTATTGGTTAGGGTAAAGATTCAAGAGCTAGTGTCTCAGCACAGCAAAAAATACTAGGTAGCGTGTTTTGAGCACTTACCATGTACTGGGCACTATTCTAGGTATCATACATACATTTACCTATTTAGCCTTCATCAAAACCAGAAGAGGTGGATACTGTTATTATCCCTATTTTGCAGTCATAAAAGTGAGGCAGCACAGGGAGACTTATCCAGGATCACAGTAAGAGAAAGAACCAGGAATCAAACCTAGGCTTTCTTACTCCAGAGCCTCTTAACCTATACCCTCAATTCCGGATGGATAGAGACAAATTTGGTGATTACTGTATTCCTAGTGCTCAGCATGCTCAGGGCTCAGGGTGCTTTATAGTATTCATTAACTGCTTAGGGTATTAAGAACCCTAAGCTTAACCCCTATCTGATCTTCCCTTGTCTCCACAGAAGCTGCTGATGGAAGCTCCACCCTGGGAGGGGGTGCTGGCACCATGGGCTTGAGTGCTCGCTATGGACCCCAGTTCACCCTGCAGCATGTGCCAGACTACCGCCAGAATGTCTACATCCCTGGCAGCAATGCCACACTGACCAATGCCGCTGGCAAGAGGGATGGCAAGGCCCCAGCAGGTGGCAATGGCAACAAGAAGAAGTCAGGCAAGAAGGAGAAGAAGTAATGTGGAGGCCAGGCCTAGAGCCACAGGGCAGCCTCCCTCCCCAAGCAGCCCAGCTTATCCTTAAGTGTACCCAGGCCTCAGAATTCAGGGCTCACCCCCAGGATGCTGGTAGGGGCCAAGGCCATGCTCCCCTTGGGAAACAGAAACAAGTGCCCAGTCAACACCTCCCCTCTCTGCCCCCAGGGGGTTGAATATGCAAAGGGAGTTCTGCTGGGAACCCCCATCCAATCAATTGCTGTACCCATGGGGGTTATGGGGTTAGTGTAGACACCAAGAACCATTTGTCACACCCCCTTTAGTTACAGCTGAACTCCTCCATCTTCCAAATCAATCAGGCCCATCCATCCCTGCCCTGCCCCACTTCTTCAATAGTTCTCTCTTGAGTAAGATGGTTGGGTCGTAGAGGTACCAGGTGACCTAAAAAGGCTCATAATTCTGAGTTGGAAGGGCATCATGACCTCTTGGCCTCTCCTTTGATTCTCAGTCTTCCCCCAAAGCATGGTTTGGTCTAGTTCCTTCATCTCCTTCCAGACCTGAGACCAATGCTCAAGTTTTGGAGGACATGGTCACCATCCCCATGGTACTGATGCTTGCTGAATTTAGGGAAAGCATTTTACTACCAAGCCTCTTCCCAATGCCCTGGGGACTAGTCTTTTGTTTTGTTTTGTTTTGTTTTTCATAGTTTGATGTTCCCACTGCATGCTGTGACTACCTTATCCCTCCTCAAATAAGAGACTCCACTGCATGTTCCAAGACAGTATGGGGTAGTAAGATAAGGAAGGGAAGTGTGTGTGTATGTAGATTGTGGGGGAGAGAATGGTTTGACCCATTGGTTATTAGGGTCTTGCAGGAGGCTTGTATGTCCCCAGGGTACTGACCAGATCCCCAAATTCCAGCCATAAACCAACCACTAGGCTGGACCCTCACCCCCTACAAACAGAGCTTAGCCCAGGCAGCCAGTTTTGGGCTGAGCTACCAGGACCAATGGATTTAAACTGGCATTTCAGACCAAGGAAGCTCTGAGAAGGTTTAGAATCAGGTCCACTGGAGAGGTCAGAAGGGCTCCTGGAAATGCGGGGTACTTCAGAGGTGCTTCTGGTAGAAGGGTCATTGGAGCCCCAGCAGGAAGGGATAGCTAGCTGGGACCTTCTTAGTCCCCAGGAGGCAAGGGACCAAGCGGACAGAAAGTCTCAGCCCAGGATGGGGCGTCTCCAAGGGGTCCCTGCACTTCTCAAGCCTCAGTCCTTCACTTTGCCAGGTGCCATTTCTTCTCTGTGAAGGCCACTGCCCAGGCCCCCAGTCCGCACCCCCGTGGCCAGAGCCTGGTTAAAGTTCCCCAGTGCCTCCTTGTGCATAGAACTTCCGCTCCCCACCCTCTTTTACCCCCTGGGTCCGCTTCATCCAGCGGGGCTGCCAGAGATCCCCATCCCAGCCCTGACAGTAGAGTACAGTCCTCTCCCCCTTTCGGCTGGTGTAGAATAGCCAGTAGTGTAGTGCGGTGTGCTTTTTACGTGATGGCGAGTGGGCAGCGGGCGGCGGGCTCCACGCAGCCGTCTGTCCTTGAATCTGCCTGCGACGGCCCGTGCTGTGTTTCGTGCTGTGTCCACGCGCTGCGGCGACCCCCTCCCCCTTACTGACTCCTCTAAGCGCTTCTCTTCGCATAGTCACGTAGCTCCCACCCCACCCTCTTCCTGAGTCTCACGCAAGTTTTATACTCTAATATTTATATGGCTTTTTTTCTTCGACAAATAATAAAAAGGTTTCTTCTGAAAGGTTGCACGTTTCTGTGTGAGATGGAGGCTCCTGACGTGTGGATGAAATGAGTTGAGAGGTGTGTGCTGTAAGAAATGAATCGGGAGGCAATTGTTGTTTGCATCTTGGTGTGTGTCCTTGCGCATCTGGATCTGTTTCTGAATTATGTGTGACTGTCCAATATGGCTGTGTACGCTTGCAATACCGTTGTGCCTATGTAACCGTGTGCGATTGACTGTAATTGTGCTTGTGGATCTGTACACTGTTGTGTGTAATCGGCTTTGCAGGTCCGTTGTGGGGGTGGGGGTTTGTGAGTGCGGCGTATCAGCGCGCAACTGAGTATGCAATCTTAAGCTTGCCGCTGTCTCTAGGCAGAAGAGGAGACGCTGGCGCGGGCGCGGGCGCGGGCGCGAACGATGGGAGCCAGGCAACACGCTCTGGGGAGGAGGCAGAGATGTTTCCTCAGTTCCCGCCCCTTCTCGGCTAAATTCACCTCACTCCAGCGTCCCGGCAGGCTTCGTGGGAGGAGCAAGGACTCTCCTTTGCCTGCCCCCACCTCACCCCCACTGCCTAGAGGTTTTGGGAACAACGCAGGAGAGAGACGGAATGTGGGAGACGATTCTCCAAAGCCCTAGTCTGTAGGTTGGGCCTCAGTTTCCCCATCTGGATTTCGCCTTCCCGCTTACCTCTCCCCAGTGTAAAGAAGTAGGAGGGCTCAACGCTTTCTTAGGAGGGTCAAGGGGACTGAAAGGACGTCTAGGAAATGAGATCGCCCGCCGACCCTGCTCCCCTCCCTCCTTGGTGCTTTTCTGTTCACTCCGGCTAGTCCACCCACTTCGCCTACCTCCTTCCCTCGCTAAGCTCTGAGGGATCCCAAGGTTGCCGCCGCCAGAGAAGCTGCAGGAAACCCCCGGCCAAGTGGGGAGAGGGAGGGGCAGCGGGAGCGGTGGAGGAACAGAAACACTGAGCGGCTGGGGTTATCGCGCGGGTCAGCTAAGCTGTGCAGAGGCTGTCTTAGAGCTTCCTCAGCCGCGGCGTCTCTCCCGGCCAGGTCGCCCGTTCTGCTCCCTCCTTAAGTCTGTTGTCATGGAAACCAAACCTTTCAACTAAGCATCTGGGGGCGACTTTCTTGCTTGGGAGGAAGGGTGGTGCGCGCGGTTGCAGAGCTGGAAGTAGGGTTTTGTTTCTCAGAGGCAGGCTGCGGAGGGGCGGGGTGGCAGGCGCCTAGGTTCTATTCCAGGCATGGCAGCAGACTGGCAGAGCACGTGAGCAGCTGTGGTTGGTCCCCTAATTGGTATGTGTGTCTATAAAGCTTTAAGCCAGAACTGCATGGCCTCTGGGGTAGACAGGGAAAAGAGGCCGGCAGGCAGCCCACCCCCACACCTCCGGCCATACTGGGCAGCTGCTCAGGCTCCAGGGCTATTTAGAAGGCTTTTATTTATGGTTCCAGATCCTGCCCAGATGAATTTGTGGTCCTCCTCAGGCCCCTCCCTGTCTATCCTGGGTCTGCTGGTTTGCTGGTAAGGTTTCTTTGTGGAGATCACAACCACTCAGGTAAGTATGGCTAAGTGGCTAGTTATTTGGTGCATGACCTTGGGCTTCTGACCTCTGCTGGGCAGCCTGAGGTTCCCAACCCAGTGTAAGCCATCTAGTATGAAATGTGGTCTGTGGCCACCAAAAGAGCAGTGGGAACAGGAAAATGGGAGTCAGATGCTTCTCTCAGCAAGAGGCAGAGGAAACTGTGCAGTGACATTTGAGAGTATGGGGTGGTGGGAAATTAGTACTGAGTTCCAGAAAGGGCTCCAAGCCAAGAGGCAAGCAAAGCGGAAGAGCTGGGGAGCTCAACTGCGTGCCTGCTCCTTTACTGAGGGCACATAGCCCTGAGGTGAGCTCTGGTAGGACAGAAACCACCATATATTAATCATTTCTAACTCTGTGCCCAAGCATAGTGTCTGGCACCTTTAGCTTTTTCACAGTGATCTGTCAGGTCAACCAGGGGTTTGAGGTAGGAAAAAGAGCAGAGGAGCCTGAACTTCAGTGAAAAGAAAACAGCTTGGAAATTCACAAAGGAGAATGTAAGGCAGTACTGTTTCAATGCTTTATTAACAGTTGGAAACAAACCCAACAACTGGAGGTGATGATATCCCAGAAGTCCAAGAGATAAAGGAAAAAGAGTTGCATTTTTGTCCCCCCCTCTTTTTTATTAAATTCATCTTAGCAAAAGTAGATTAAAAAAGAGTCAAAGTTCCAGATGTCCAAGAGCAGGGAGAACAAGGTGACCCAGGGATGCAAGGGACTCCTTTTACTAGAGTTTTCCTAGAAACAGCTCAGAGGAGCCGCCCTTGCACCTTCATACAGAGGTTCTAGCAACCAAAACTTCCTCCCTGGCTGCAAGGCCTCCCTGTAGTTGCACTCAAGTTTCCTAAGCTTCCCTTGCTCAAACAAATTATACTTCTGGGCTAAACCCTAACAGTATCACACTCTTTCTCCCTATCTGGGGATGGAAACCTGACAGGGGGCACAAAGAGGACAAAAATATCACCCTAAGCCAAAGAATTTGTGCTTTCTGTGGCTGAGACCACCAAACAGTTCAGTTTGCCCACTGTTCAGAAGACAGTAGGGATACAGTGTGCAGGGGCACTTCCTGTGCCCACTTACCCAGAGTGTCCAAATAGCATTTGTACATTTGGCTTGATAAATTTATTAATTTTATAAAAACTCTGTGGTCTTAGACCTCCTGCTACTCTTAGGCCTGGCCCAGCTCAAAGAGAGAAAAGATTGATTTCTCCTGCCCAGAAATGATCCTGGGAAAGTCTGCCTTGGCCTCGAGGGTCCAGAGGCTTGAGGGCTAAGGTAAAGATACAGGGGCATCTTGGGGATTGAGGCCTGTCAGGAAAAACCCCAGGAACTCTGGAAATTACTATCAACACCTCTTACATTATGGAGGGGAAAGGGGGAAGGAAGAGTCTGCTTTAAAAAAAATTTTTTTTACATACAAAAATAGATCCATTTGCAAAACAATTTCTCAGCCAGGAGGCTCCACCTCCCATTTCCTTGGAGATGGGTGAGGTGTTGAGATGGTCACAATACAGCCCATAGTCCAGATGGGAGGCACCAAAGCTCTGGGGAAGGCATGAGGAGAGGCCTCGGCTTGGTAGCCTGGGGGTAGTACACAGGGTCCAGAGAGGCAAAGACATAAAGCATGGCAGCAGGCTGGGCACAGGCCCCACATTGCTAGTGTCCGTCTGCCTGCCGACAAGCTCTGGGCCACAGCCAAACAGGTAAAGCGGTCCAGATCTTTTTGTACTGGGAGGCCTTTCCCAAGAAGGTGGGGTAAGAGTGGGATTTGCTTCCCACTTCCCTAGGAGCAGCTCCTGATGCCATACCACTAATAATAAATAATAGCCAGAAGAGGTAAGGGAAGAGCAGAGGTGATAGCAATGAAAGGAGAAATCTAGTCCAAAGGTTCATAAGCCCCATGCTATTCTCAGGGCCAGAGAAACCACAAACGAAAAGCACAAATCCAGCAAGATTGACCTAAGGGAAAGCCCACTGCCCTCTAGAAAGTCAGGGGCTAAGAAAGCAGGCTGGGCCTTGTCTGAGATGAGGCCCTCTGCGTAACAGAGAGAAGACAGGGTTAAGGCAGCAAACATAGACCCTGCTTTGGTAATACAACAGCCAGGGTTGGCTGGGTTGGGCTCAGGCCTCCCCCACACTGCCCTTTTCTTCTGGCTGAAGCTGTATGTGATGTTCAGAGAGCAGCAGGCCAGAGAGAAAGACAGGGTCAGGGTAGTGGGAGTGGCCACCCCAGAGGAATATCCCCTTGAGCCTTTAGGCACATGCTGTAGGGCCGGACAGTCTAGGGCTCCATTCAGGAGCTGCCATGGCCATAGGACCCAGCTTAGCTTGCACGGCCTACTAACTCCTTGTCTTCCTCAAGGATTGTGGGGACTGCCTCACTAGTCTTGGGCACCTTGACAGGAACAGCAGACATGGCATCATCCTTGGTCAGCTCCGTAGCTAGCACAGCCGTAACTGCACAGCCGGCCTTCCTGTTTGCTGCAAAACAAGACATGAGAGATCTTATCCATGGAAGGCCTAGTTTCTATTTCAAACTCTATAGCAGACATTCAGCTATAAGCCATGCAGATGTAGCCTCCCTGTCTAGTTTGCTGAGACCCTTACTTTGAAGAAGGAGTGGCAGAGAGCAAAATGTGGGATATACCTTTGGGTAGCAAAGAATATAAGAGAGTGGGTGGTGCCTGTGGCTCAGTGAGTAGGGTGCCAGCCCCATATACTAAGGGTGGTGGATTCGAACCCAGCCCTGGCCAAACTGCAACCAAAAAATAGCCAGGCACTATGGAGGGCACCTGTAGTCTCAGCTACTCAGGAGGTTAAGGCAAGAGAATCACCTAAGACCAAGAGCTAGAGCTTGCTATGAGCTGTGACGCCACAGCACTCTACCAAGGATGACAAAGTGAGACTGTCTCTTTAAAAAAAAAAAAAAAAAAGAACAAGAGAATGTGGTACAACAAGAGAGTAAAACTTGCCTGTGCTTTGCTATGTGAAAACAGTACAAAAGTTTGAATACAGCTAGACATACAGAATTGGGCTTAAGTGTTAGGTATGTGACTTAAAGAGAGATGAAGTACTCAAAGTTTATTTTGTTTCTTTGAGACACTCACTTTGTCCTCCCACCCCCACTCCCCACAGAGTCCTGTGGCTTCAGCAGACTCCTGGGCTCAAGTGATTCTCTTGCCTCAACCTCCTGAGCAGCTCAGACTACAGGCACCTGCCACAATGCCCGGCTGTTTTTTGGAGACAAAGTCTCACTCTAGCCCAGGCTGGTCTCAACCTTGTAAGCTTAGGTGATCTGCCCGCCTCAGCGTGAGACATGTGCCTGGCTCAAAGTTTATTTCTTATAAAAAGGTTGTTGGAATTAAATAGGCTAAAGCTCAGTAAGTAGTATTATTTTTGTCTTCTTGATAGTTTTCAAGAAGCTCCTAGGCCAAAACACTTTTCAGTCAGCCTGAGAGGATTGTAGAAGGTGGTCTTCAGCAGGCTACTGGGGGACTCCTGAAAAAAGGAACAGCAGCCACTCACTGGCACAACAGGCACATCATGCTCCCATACGTTCCTCCAACACCAAATGCCCACATGCCTATGCACTTTCCCACTTCTTCAAGGGTAATACAAATGCCAAGGGTCCTATAAGGCTGTAAGGTGTGTGTGTATTGAGGAGGGTGCAATGAAAGATATGTCAGAAAAGGTGGAGCTGGAACCAAGGATGGCCAGGAGAGGACCTCTACAAAGAAATCTCAGCCCTATTACCTAAGGGATTGTGAAGTTTCAATTATCAGCCCAAATAGGAAGAACAGAACCAGTAAGTCCATGAGTTCCTATTGTAACTGCTGGGATCTATCCCTAAGGTTCTCATATTCATTTATGGAACCCAGACTTATGGCCCCAGTATCAGCTGGAAAGTGGGCCCTTGGGACCATACCCATCTCAGGATGTCTACCTATTCCATGCCTCACCCAGAAGCAGCACGAAGGCAGCACAGAACAATTGCATGTACACAGAAAGCTGCCTGGGATGAAAGAAATGAGATGCAAAAGGGAATCCGTATATGTTAGGATTCCTTATCTATGAAATGACCAGCAGAGGCAAATCTATAGAGATAGAAAGCAGATTAGTGACTGCCAGGAGCTGCAAAAGGGGAGAATCAGAAGTGACTGCTAATGGGTAAGGGATTTTTCTTTTTGGGGATGATGAAAATGTTCTGGAATTAGACAGTGGTGATGGTATACAACCTTTTGAATGTATTAAAAATGCTTGGCCTAAACAAAAAAATGGTGAATTTCAAGTACATGAAAAAACTGGTATCTCAATTTTTTGAAAAAGGCCAGCTGTGATGGCTTATGCCTGTCATCCCAGCACTTCAGGAGGTTGAGGTGGAAGGATCACTTGAGGCCAAGCCTGGGCAACACAGTTGAAAACACTGTCTCTACAAAAAAAATTGAAAAATTAGCTGAGTGGCTGGGTGGGGCAGTTCATGCTTATAATTCTAGCAGGCTGGAAGGTCAAGTCAGGAGAATTACTTGAGGCCAAGAGTTCAAGACCAGCCTGAGCAAGAATGAGACTCTGTCTCTACAAAAAAAAACCCCCAGAAAAATTAGCTGAGTGTGATGTTGTACACCTATAGTACCAGCTTCTTAGGAGGCTGAGGCAAGGAGGACCACCTGAGCCCAGGAACTTGAGGTTGCAATGAGCTGATGATGCCATAGTACTCTAGCCAGGGCAACATAGTTACAGAGCCGATCTAAAAAATAAATAAATAAATAAATAAATAACAAGGATAAAGAAAAAAATAGCAGCTGAGCATGGTGCTATATGTGCTTATAGACTTAGGAGGCTGAGGTGGGAGTTTGAGGTTCCAGTGAGTCTGATCATGCCACTGCGCTACAGCCTTAAAGAAGCAGAGCCAGATGCAAGAGCCTAGCACTCCCAAATGAAGACTACAAGGCTGGGCTAGCAGTGGGATATGAGCAGGAAGGAAAAGCCTCAAGGGGCTAGTGAACAAAGTGCTTCCTTTGGACCAGCAAAAAGCTTTAGGTAGGCAGAAGCCAAATGGGATCAGAAAGTCCAAGTCTTCGCTAAGGCTGTCAGTGTTCCTGCACAGCCATGACCCAGAGCCACTCTGTTCACCCCAGCAGAGGCTACCCACAGGTCAGGCAGGGAACACACAGCCATGCCCACATGTTACCAATTTATAAGTGTCCTCCTCCTCCTCCTCCCAGGGGCACAAGGGGTTGTCTACCAAGAGAAAAAGCAGTAAAGATCCTGTCTGATAACCACAAGAGCTTACCTAGTTATAGATCAGAGGTATATTACCCAAACTGTGAGGATTTCACCAACCTACTCATTGGATTATGAGCATCTCAGTGACAGATGAGGAAAAAGAACCTACCTATAGAGTAGACTATAACAGTTTACATTATATACTTCTCCTATCTGCCTTCTTAGTTTCTTACCACCAAAATCTTCCTCAGACCTGCTGAGTGTCCACTCTTTTCAGAAGTACTCCCTTCTCTAGACACCATTTCTCTTGTCCAGAAAGGTAGTGGCTTAATAATACTTTATTGCTTCTTTAAATTGAGTCTTCAGCAGTTAAGAAAATACTGCAACTATGTGACTCTAGTGGTGTGTATACACTGAAACAACTTCTGACTCTAGAACCTGGGGAAAAGAACACTGGGCCTTCAGGGCAGTTGCCTGGGCAACATAGGAGAAATCAGCATTAAAGTGTGACTAGGCCTAAGATGCTCCTTTCTTAATTTCTTTCTGTATACTTTTTTTTTTGAGACAGAGTCTCACTATGTCACCCTAGGTAGAGTGCTGTGGCATCACAGTTCACAGCAATCTCAAACCCTTGGGCTTAAGCAATTCTCCTGCCTCAGCCTCCCAAGTAGCTGAGACTACAGGCGCCCACCACAACGCCTGGCTATTTTTTTGTTGCTGTTATCATTGTTGTTTAGCTGACCTAGGCAGGGTTTGAACCCGCCAGCCTCCGTGCATATGGCTGGTGCTGTAACCACTGTGCTACAGAAGCGAGCCTCTTTCTGTATACTTATAAAGGTAATATTTTAAAAGATTAGTTGGATTATTTATAATAATCAGCCATACTTAGTCAAGCAGTATTTATAGATTTTCCTAGACTAACAGAGCTTCTGATGCATTATAGAGTTCATAAGAACCAGGGGCAGACAATAGGTCAGCAGTTCTCAACATGTGGGTCAAGACCCATAGGAACTGTATTAAAGGGCCACAGCATTAGGAAGGTTGAGAATCACTGCAGTAGGTGGAGAGAAGACCAAAATTTCCCTTTTAATCATTGAAAGTATGTACACTAGGGATGGTCATGATATGGCCTAAGGTCAGGAATTGAGAAAGCTCTTGCTGGAACTGGCAACAGAGTCAATAGAATCCAGGAATCCTGCTTCTCACTCTGCCTCCTGTGCCACCATTATGCTGAGCAGTTTAAACAACCAAGAAAAACAGACCTCTTCCTTTCTAACTTAAGTACTTAAGACTGTTAAGAAGCAGTCATAGAATGGCAGGGTGCGGTGGCTGATGCCTGAAATCCTAGCATTCTGGGAGGCCAAGGTGGGTGGATTGCTTCAGCTCAGGACTTTGACCCTAGCCTGAGCAAGAGCAAGACCCCATCTCTACTAAAAACAGAAAAACTAGCCAGGTGTTGTGGCAAGCACCTATAGTCCCAGCTACTTGGGAGACTGAGGCAGGCGGACTGCTCAAGCCCAGGAGTTAGAGGTTGCTGTGACTTATGATGCCACAGCACTCTACCCCGGGTGACAGAATGAGACTTTGTCTCCAAAAAAAAAAATGTAGTAATAGAACCAGATAAACATTTTGACTAGATACGATCAGGGAGGATCCTGAATGCCACATGGGATGGGGGGAAAGGGAACAATCTTAAGACAATGGTCAAAGTTTTCTGAGGTGAGATTCCTAAAAATTGGGGGAGCATGCTGGGATAAAAACACCAGTAAAACTGACCATATAATACTAGTGTAGCTGAATTTTAAAAGGTTAATGATTTGGGAAAAGATCTTTATTAAAACACAGGCGAAGAACTATTACTAAAGAGAAAGCATTCCTGTTAACATGCTTCCTTAGGGAAGAGGAAACTAGGACAGGTGGGCCAATCATTACCCTCCTAAATAAATTATCTAAAACTATAATTATACTTTCTGTCCTATTTTTACAAAAGTTTGGGGAGAGTAAGTAGGGGTACAGGAAACATTCTTATCAACCTTCTCTAGATAGGCAGTCATCAGATCTCTCTGAAGTGATTTCACATGTCCATGACTTTCATTGCTAGAAGGTATTAAAAAATATTTCTAGGCTTGATGTAATGGCTCACCCCTGTAATCCCAGCACTCTAAGGCCAAGCTAAGAGGACTGCTTGAGGCCAGGGGTTTGAGACCAGCCTGGGGCCAACATAGTGAAACCCTATCTCTACAAAAAGTTAAAAAAAACTAGCTGGGTGTAGTGATGCACACCTATAGTCCTAGCCCACTCAGGAGGCTGAGCCAGGAAAATTGTTTAAGCCCAGGAGTTTGAGGTTGCAGTAAGCTATAATTATGCCACTGCACTTTAGCCTGGGCAACAGAGTAAGACCCTGTCTCAAAAAAAAAAAAAAAAGAAAAGAAAAGAAAAGAAAAAGAAAATATTCTGGCCCATACTGAGAGGTCACCGTCCAATCATGTAGACTTAGTAGAAATGGCCTTGGACTTGGATTCACAAAAGTAGGCTACAGCTCTGGCTCTATGATTAACCAGCCATGCAGACCTGTGCATGACCTTGTCTAGGTCTTAAATCCTTTTACCTATGAGCTGGTTAGATACTAATCTTTAGAGGTCTTTAGAGTCTTTCCAACTCTAAGGTTCTGTTAGGTATAACAGAAGCCAATAGGGAAGCTGGAAAGTGATAGAGGGAAGGAAAGGGAAAGAGAAGTGAATTTTTTTCTTCCCTTGACTTTATCCCATTGAGTGAATAGCCTGTATGTAAGAGGGCATAATTCAGACATGAAGATAAAGTTGAGTCAATAAAACCACAAGCTGACTCAATCATGGCCTGAATCAACAGCTGTAATACAATCACATGGATTCTTCCCCTTGACACTCAAGCCATTGTTCTCCCATACCCTGCAGATCACAGCAGTTTACATGTTGCTTTTAATGAATCAATTCTGATAGTAACTCTTCTCTTCTGACTCCTCAATGGGTCTTTGTATACTAGTCACTCCCGCAGGTCTCCAGAGACCGGAAGATTTTAACATTCCTTTAAACCTAGGGAAAAGGCTAGTGTCTTTGAATAGGGACAGCTGCCATTCTGGGAATAAGGAGGGCTGTGAGGCAGATATGCTTGATAGTGCTTCTATTTTGGGGCTCAAAGTAATTGGCCAAGAGGAATAGTCAGAGACAGCTTAGCAAGGGCTGGAACAGCTAAATCCAATAGCCACAGAGGGAAATCTACAGCCACCAGAGCCTTTGTATTTTGAGCATGGACTACCTAGACCTAGCCTCTCTCTTTTTTTCTCCTCTTAATCCTATTTTCACTGTATTAAAAAAAAGACTCAGAGTTGGAAGGGACCCTGGAGATCATTCTAATGCAACTCTAATTTTATACATGAGGAAACTGAGTCCTAAAAACATTAAGTAACTTGCCTAAGGTAACAGAGATGGTCTCAGAGCTACATTTAACTTTGGGTCTTTTGATCCCTTCCTAGCCCTATGCTCTTTATACTTCACTTCAATGTCCGTCCTCTATTTACATTTAATGTGAAGCTGTATCACATCACTTTACCTGATATGAATAGACCCAGATCTAAAGAACTTACCAGAATAACTAGAAATGTCTTCTTGGAGAGATTCTCCCAGATATATTGAGGTGTATTTAGTAAACTCACCTGAGAGCCCAGAAATACAAGGTTACAGGCTGAAGCTACCTAAAGATAGGTATTCTCATTTCACGTTTTTCCCTATTCCTTCTGTACTGGAAGATAGTACTTTGACTAATTCAGGTCCTCTGCTAAACAATTAGGTTTTGACAAAATCCCTGTTTCTTTTGCCTATGAGTCCTATTTTCCTTACTTGGAAAGAAGTGAAGAATGGGGTCTCCCCAGCAAAGGGAAGCCACTGATGTCTGGCTGCCTATGTATAGGAAGCATCTGGGATTCTAGTATAGTTCCACAGGAAGAGGCTTAATAGGGAATTCCCCACCAAAAGTCTGATGTAAGTTGGTACTTAGCTGAAGGGGTCAAAGAAAACAGAGATGAGATGAAATCAATGTACTTTCTTTAGCCTAGAAATACTTCATATATAGACACTTCACCTTATACAGTAGGTAGGAAATGATGTTGCAAAAGCCTAAAGACTAAATACAAAAGTAATATAGTAATACTAGTGGCACTCTCTACCTAAACTATCTATAATGCTGAATGCTCTATCCCAAAAAGGTCTAAGGCCTTCCTACCTACCTCTCCTTTCCTTGAGAGAGCCTGTATTCAGATGATGCCAGAAAAGGGATAAAGAGTTGTATCTAGGGATTCTTTCATTAGAGAAGGTTCTAAAGTCATAGAGAAGAGCCCTTCAGGAGGGAATTTCCCTCTAGGTATTCCAAGTATAGTGGAAATACAGTAGAAATAGGCAGCTAGCTGGGACAGGTGAAACTCATAGTGATCAACAACATTCAGGTTAGGACACTGAGTTTCTGTGGGCTAAAATACTCTATACCTTGATCCTAAGGTTCCCTTTCCAGCCCATGACATGTACTACAGGCTGTACAGATACTACTGGATTGATAGCTAACCACTGGCCAAAACAAGCTATACAACTCTTTCTCTTAATAATAACCTCATAAAGTACAGCTCATATCAAATGGGCTACAGAGTGCTAACAGTCAGGAAAAAGAACATAGTTTTAATCCCTCTGAAGTAGAAATGTTTAATGATGCCTTTTCTGTAATTCTTGTCCTTCAGCCTAGGGAAGAAATTATCACTCCTAGACACAAAGGACCTTCACTAAACACATGGGTGGGTCAACTCCATGTGAGAGAGAGCACTGGCTGCACCTTTAGACTAGTTTCTTGGCCAGTGTATGCTGCCCTCAAGGAAACTTAACCATTAATCCTTCCCCATACTCATGCCTGGATTATTTGTTCTCCTGTCTCTATAATTCTTTTTAGAGGTTCTGGTTCAATGTAATCCACTCAAATCTTCTGAAGGTTAAGAAAGTAGGCTGCAAGGGGAGTGACTGCAAGGGAAGACTATGGCAGTGGAGGCTAACTGCACCTAAGGGAAAGGTAGTCTTACACATGGCGCAATCCTTTAGTTGACAGGCTCCTAAACCTAACCTTCTCTCACAGAATTTTATACTTTCTTTTACTAATCTGATCTATGTATGTCTTCTGCTTGTGAAACTGAGAGTAAAGACACTATTTTTTTCTTTGTGTTTTAATCTATACCTCAAGTGTAGTTTTGTGTTTCGATCAATTTTTTTCATAAACACACACAGTCAAATCCCTATGTCCTGCAGCATAGTTCCCTTGTTCCAAATCTTGCCTTCAAGAGTGGAAAGAAATGCAAGAATAATAAAATATAACTGGTTTGTCGTCAGTCCCTCAAACTCTACTATCCCAAATCAGTACTGTCTAACATGAGAGACACAGGACTAGATAATCTACTCTAGATGCAAGGACTATTGTGAAGAAGCTTCTAAACCCTTAAGGCACCATTTTCTGCTCTGTAGCTCAAGATGAGAGGACCAGGAGCTAAGAGGGCTCACCCCCTCAACACTCAGGCTGAGCTCCATTTGCTTACTTACCCTGACGGGGCCCTCTCTTCCGCCGGAATGCTGCCCCCGACTGCAGAGCTTCTAGAAGACTGTCCATCACACCTGTCTCATCGCCCTCTGTCATGAACAAAGATGGAGAATGTAAACTCTTCAGCCTAAGTAGCAAATGTCAAGCCTCACACAAAACGCATGGCTGTTGCTTTGCTTCCCCTCTTCCACAGGGGCTGGCAGCTAAGAACAAAGAGTGCTCAATCCTAAGTCTCACAGGCTCGTGTTTACTTACATCTGTTTAAAAATGGTCAAAACAAAAGATGTCACTGCCTACTATCCAGGGCAAACCTTGTATATCTTCCTACAGTGCCATCCCCTGTATCCCAGTCAGGACTGACACAGAGAATTGCTGAACTGCCCAACTCCAAGATCAGGATAAGTAAAGACTGCAATTGTGACAGTAATAAGCAACTACATTATTCAGTCTTTATCTCAAAGTGTTTCACTCTAATTTACAAAAACCTCTCATGGAGAGTGTGGTTCAGGTTTCAGACCAGAGCTGAGAAGGAGAACAACTAGTCAAGAGTGTATTTCAAGTCTTAAGTACTGCCTCCAGTGGCTGGGTCTCCCTGAAGCCAGCTCTGCATCTAAGAGAAGAAGCCAGGCTGGAATACAAAGAGTTAATGTGGAATCCTTGTTCCAGCCTGGTTCAGTTTCCATGGCAACAGCTCAGGGTACTGAAATCTGAAACCGAAATCCCACGGAGCCGGTTGGCTGCCAGAGCCAAGGTAGGGGCTCACTGCTTCCAGCGCCACCTGGTGGTTGGAGATCACCAGTGCATCTGACCTACATTCCAACCTCATTTGCTTGACTAGGGTCCTAGGACCAGGGCAAGGTCAACTACGCCACCTGCCGACGGGGTGCAGCCCTCATCCCACAGCACAGCTGGACTCCACTTTCCCCACTGCATCCTAATACCTAAAGAAGAGCCACTGAGGTCCAGGGGAAGGTGATGGATACCAGGTGTGGGCTTTAATAGCATTACTGGTACAGGTTTGTGGATTACATCTGAGGTGGGTAACAGAACTGTGCTCCAGAAAAGTATAAAGAAAAGTCCCTGGGAACAAGAAGTGCTGGTGTTACAGGAGCACTTGCTGCTTGTGCTCCACAAAGTGCTGATTCTAACATAACTGGCAGGTCTAAAACCCCCTTTAAGCCCCTCTGCTTGCAGAAGGCTTGTGGCCCCAAGGTTCAGAGCAGGGTGGCATCAGCTCAGTGCCGTGTAAGTAATGTATGCTGTATTTCCGCTGCCCGCAGAGAGAGCAGTGGGGGTGGAAGGGCAGGGAATCAGCAGCAGGAAAAAAGCAGAAACAGGAAACAGAGGGCCAGTAATTGAGACCATATGTTTCAACAAAGACAGGCTTCTGGTAGTGAAATAGAGATTCTGCTGAAAAAAGAAGAGGGTGGCCAGCTCCTCATCCCTTTCCAGAAGTTCAATCCATTTATAATTGTATAGTATGTACAACTGTGCTAAGGGACTAGAGACACAGTACTTAGTGAAATAAGCAGAAAGGGAAGACAAGCCACCATGAAAAGATGGGAGGAAGGTCAGGAAAAACCCACAAGATTTAGTGAAGGTAATGAGAACAGGCCTGAGAAACCTCTGGATGGGCAGACAGAAAGAGTGCGTGTTACAGCAATACCAAAATCACTGGGGAGATAAGATATAATGCAAGAACCAGCAAAAGCGAGAAAAAGATTTTAGCATAGAAAATTGGAATGTGCTTAGAACTGAATTCAGGTTAAAGTCAAGCATCAAGACCCGGAGGTAGAAAGCTGCCAAAAATCATTTGCCAGGAGTTGAGCTCAGACATGAGCTATTCTCTCTGGCCTCTAGATTTTAGACAGAGAAGCCTTCCAAAAGTTCCTGGCTCAATTTATCAGCCCTCTTTACTATTTCACCTGCATTCATGTCTATGAGCTGCTCTCTCTTCTGCTGTTTCTCTAGCCGTTCTTTCTCTGCCTTCTCCTTGGCTAGTTTTGCTCGACGCATCTTTTCTTCTGTCTCTCGCCGCTTCTGGTTCTCCTTGACTGCTTGCTGTGGGGAGGAGGGGGAAAGAACACACAGACATATATGTACACCTACCACCACCAACATATAGCCTGTGGAAAGTGAGAAAAGTCCACAAAAGATTCAGTCAGTAGGTATCCCTTGCTCACCAAAAACATATTCCTAAAATTGTGCAGATCCATGAAGAATTCTTCCACAGATAACTTCTTCGGGTCAAAGAGGTAATAATCACCCAGCTCCTTATAGAGAGTCTCCATATTAGAATGCATCATCCGCAGCTTGTTATACTGCTCCTGTGCATCCTTCACAAAGCTGTGCAGCCAAGGAGTAAAGGACTAACACCGAGAAGCAGACTCACTTCTCTAACCCAGAAAATTACTCAGAGATGCAAAGGAATGTTCAATACAGCACTGTTCAAATAGCAAAAAACCAAAAGCAATCTAAATATCCTAAATAGGGGAATAGTAAACCAAAAGCTGTGACATACCTATAAATTAGAAGGTGGTAATTTAAAAATAAACTTCTGCACATGCTAATATGGAAACATGGCTAAGACGTATTATGTGCAAAAGCAATACAGTGCAGTTTTTGTTTAAAACAAATTCAAGAGGTACAAATCAGCAAGAAGCCCAGTGTCAGTGATTGCCTTTGGGAAAGGGGGGAGTACATGAAGTGCTGAGTGTGTCTGCAACCATAGATGGGGAACAGGGAAGGGGAATCAAGGGAAACTTCCAGTGGACCTGTGTGGTTTGCTTTCACTGCCACAGTAATTCGAATGTTTTTAAGAACTATGTACTTAATGAAAAAAAGTTATTTTAAAAGGGGAAAACTGTGTACTGCTGTTATCTATCCTGCTGTGCACCCCTCCACCAGTTTTCTTTCCCTTCTAGGCAGCAACTCCTTTCCAGAGGATATAGTCATTTTTTCAACAAATTTGTCTTTTTCCTCTGTGGCAGCTGGAAAATTCTGAACATCACGTTCCACATCAGAAATTTGTTTCTTCATCTGATCTAGGTTCTTTTGCAAGTTTTCAGCAGAAACTAAAGGAAATACCAAAATAGACAGTAAGAGCTTACTTATAATTCCAGCCTCAAGACCCCACAGCTTCACTCTTCAAAGCACAGCTTCAGTCTACACACATATTCTGATACTTAACTATTTTAGCTCTCTTATGTAATAACTTCAGTTGTTTCTCACATTAATTTTTCACCTTTCCTGGGAGACTATCAATTATTTGATAATTGAACCCCCACCCTCCACAAGGTGTACAGTACAGAAGAGAGGCTTCATTTAATTTAACATGAATCTATGAAATCCCCTGTGACCTTGGTCTCATTTATTTTAGAGGACAGGGTCTGGGAGGGAGGAGATATACATAGAAAGACAGAGGCAGGGCAGAAAGCTGTTCCTATTTCTACTGAATGCTTTTGCTTTGTCTAGTTCCAGGACAGTGAGGCCTGATTTTGTTAATTCACTCTATGCTTTCTGAATGAGAAAAACTGTTAACCTAGACTAAAAACACCTGCCTTTCTTCCAGTTTTTTTTTTTTTTTGGTGTTAGGTATTTCCCTGGGAAAGGAAAAATTGCTTCCCATTTCTGAACATGAAGACCTCTTTTTGGCCTTATACTCCTCCTTTGTGGCTTAGACACCATGCCTAAGTCCTCCCCCATTCTCACTTAAAATAGTCTGAATAGAAAATGACCTGAAAATCTAGACTGTGACTTATTTCCCTCTCCATGCAGAGGCTTTTGGGGGCTCAGAATCATATTCTGGCTATACCCCAACCTGCCCACCTCGGCTGGCTTTCTCCACATGGGCAAGCTCATCTGGAAACTTGAGGACATCAGGATAGTCATTCTCACACAGCTCAGCTAAGAAGTGCAACAACGTCATCTTCTGATCTGTGGACTTAGTGTCTCGAAGCTTAGGATAAAAAGAGAAATCGTTAGTCCTGACATGCCCAAGATGACCTCTTTGAGGCCATAGACTTCTCTTGTGTTGCCCTACTTGAACCCCTTGGCTTACCTTACAGAGGAAGCTGATATTGAAGCCAAAAGCACCAGCATTCCTGGAGCCAGCATTCATATAGTTTCCAACAAGCAAGGTAATCTCTAGGAGGCTGGCAAAGCTCTCACTCTTGTGCAACTCTTCACATGCAGCAGTGACAGACACAATTTCTGGCTTGATATTTTCTACTTGTTCACTGAATTGTAGCTTGAAGAGGATGGCATTGAGGCGAGGCCGCAGACGGGGCACCGTTCCCATCTAATGGAGAAGACAAACAATTCCATTATAGCCAACAGAGAGAAAAGTAAGAAAAAGATACAAGCTTGAACCTCCTACGGATGATCCGAGCTCCAGAGTAGGGAGAAGAGAGAGACAAAGATAAGTTCAAAATAGATAAGGGGTAAGAAACAAGTGCCCAGGCTATTCTCCAGAGGGGAGGAGAATAAGGGACGCAGAGAAGAGCCTACGGCCACAGGCCTCACTCACCACCACGCCAAACTGCTCTGACTCAGCCAGATCATCATATTCATCCTTCAGTTCGGAAAGCATTTTTAACTGCTCTGGCTCTGGCATCTGCTTAATGAGGTTCTGAAAGAGAAGAGATGTCTCAGTCTGAATGGGATTAGCCGACAGCTTGAGCCTAAACAACTTTTACTCTCTTATCAGTTCCACACTCTGCCCAAGGACCATTAAGAAGAAAACAAGGGGGGGGGGCACACGCAGCTATTAAGATGGCAGGATTTTTGAAAAATATACCAGAAATAACCTGACCACCAGAGATACAGCAGCTTTTGCAAAGCTAGCATCCATAAGTCAGTAAGCTAGAGGAGGAGCCTCTTCATCTAAGCAGAGGGGCTGAGGCTGGTGCACAGTTGGCAGGAGAGCCAGCTCCAGCAGAATGAATGACCTTACTCCTTACCTGGATCATGGACTCAGTCAGAACAGCCTCATTCACCTCCAGGATGACATTCTTTATCTCTTGATAGGGCATGCGGAAGGAACCCAAAAAGATTGCTGCCAGAAAATGAGATATAGAGACATATTTTCAGTCTTTTCCTGCTTCTAAAGCACCCTATAAACTTATGCTGGATAATCTTCCTAAGAGAGCTCTTTTAAATCACTCTTAGAAACTTCTCTGCCTATATAGTTAAAATTCAAGTTCTTGTGTCCGTATAAAGAGTTCCCACCTCCTAGCTTTTTCTTTCATTAATCCCCATACTTATATCACACCCGCCACACTGTTCCATACCACATTCCACAAACACTGGGATTCTTTGCCTTTGTTCACACAGGAAGTCTTTGATCTCTTCTGTGTACATCAAAGACTTTCACCCCACTCTATTTTAGTTCCACTCCCAGGACTCAATCCTCAAAGCTGCCATGACCTTCAACTGCCACATCCGGCTCCCTAACAAACACACATCCTATCCTTTCAGCTTTCTCACTTACTAACCTCTAACTTGACTCTTCAACCTTATCAAGACCTCTCCCCAGTCTCCGGACCATTCTGTTTTTCTGAATATGTCAGTTCTACTCTGCCTTCTCTATTTCACCTTGACCCTATCATTTGCTCTCCACTATTATGCCTGTTACTGCTACTGCTATTCTCTTGCTTCCTTCTCCTTCTAGTCCCTGGTTAATCTAGCCATCTCATTTCTCTACTCTTATACTTGGGCTGATGCAGATCTGTGTCTATGAATCTGTAGAGTACCAATGATATTGGGGCCTTAGCGTTGCTTAGCAATCCCCTTTTGTGTGTTCCTATTCTGCTCTCTCCCACCCCTCTTGGCAGCATCTCCAAAATATTCCCATTCTGTTCTAAGAAGACTTTGCTGTCCTTCACTGAGAGAAATTGAAGCCATTGCTCAAATTACTTTCACAATAACTTCAATAGTTTCACTCAGCTGGACACAGTTCATTGTTCCTGAACAATGTCATCTCCTGCCTATATGCTGAGCCCTCTCCTGAAACAAGCTAGTCTCGACCTTCGCTGAATTCTTTCTTAATAGTTTTTCTAGTCTCTCCTTTAGAATGTCCTTTGGGATTTGCCCCATTGTCTCTCCCACCTGTGTTAGATGCCCCCTTTCTTAGTGCTCTCATAAGCATTCCAGGATAACTCTATCACAGCTCTTATCAATCTGTGTTATTATTTGCCTTTCTGTCTCTACCAGACACATGGCTCATAAGGACAGGGACTATGTCTTACTCAGCTTTTTATCTTCGGCACACAAGAAGTATTTAAACATTGTTTAATCACTAAATTCCATCTCCCAAATCCAGACCACCCTTCCGCAAACTATTCTCAATTCTCTTCTTGAATTCTGTTTTCCATATCACTATCACTCCCCTAGAAGTAATACTGTATTATATTATGGTCTTGTATCATTTTCTAAAATAACAATTATTCATGTTTTATGTTTCTAGAGATACTCTTGGAAAGAGGAACTGACTCACACTACTTGGTCTCCATAGGATTTCATCACAGATACTATTTAGTAGTATTTATTGAAAATAATTTAAGTTTTATAATCAAGAATAATGTAAAGGTCCCTCGTGGTCTGGTGGCTAGAATAAGAAAATTAAAGAAAAATAATGTAAAGGTATATTGCTCTCATTGTATCACTCAGACTTTATTTATAGGTATATGTGTAGTTATTAGTTCTGTGACCTTGGACAAATTAGAACATTCGAACTTTAGTTTTCTCATTTGGAAAATAAGGACAATAACTACATCACAAGATTGTGTGGCCAGGTACTATGGCTCACACCTATAATCCCAGCACTTTTAGAGGACTGCTTGAGTCCAGGTGTTGGAAGGCCAGCCTGGACAACAAAGAGAGATCCTGTCTCTACAAAAAATAAGAAAAATTAGCCAGGTATGATAGTGTGTGCCTGTAATTCTAGCTACTTGTGAGGTTGAGGCAGGAGGATCATTTGAGCCTAGAAGTTCAGGATGTATGAGCTATGATTGCACCACTGCATTCCGTTCTGGGCAACAGAACAAGACCTTGTCTTCTAAAACATAAATTAAAAAGGGGGGGGGAAGGATTGTGAGTAGGGTTAATGGAGTATACACTCTTTCATCTCTGGAATACACACCTAGTATGTGCCTTATAGAGCCTAATATAGCAGACCCTCAAATATTTGTTGAAGGAATACAGTAGAACATCCAAAGTTGACCACCTCCCTACGTTGACTACCCCCTTAAGTTGACCTAATTTTCACAGGCCAGGCATGCACCATATGTAAATATAAGTATAGTAGGCCTAGCTCCTTATGTTAACCAGTTTGTTATAGTCTTTTGGGTGGTCAACTTTTACTATATTTGAATCTATATTACTAAGCATAAAGTAGTCAGATCAGTAGTTGAAATGGACAAAAACAACATTTCATCCTGATCATCAAATAAGTACCAACTATATGGACTTTGCAGAGGAATTTCTGATTTGAAATTTTGCCAACAATCAGAGTTCTGAGTATAGTAGCAAATTCAGAACAGAAGAACACTGTCAAGTTACTGATCCTAGTCTGAAAGGTACAAAATTTACTTCATTTATTTTAAGTCAGAAAGTAATTTTAGATTTAATTGAAGCTAAGCCAGTGCCTGCATTACATATCAGAAAGTGAGAAAGAAGAAAATGCACAGTAGTTGGAACATTTGTGGTTGATTTTCTGTAGAGGCAATAGAAATAGTAAAGACTTTGGAATAAGAAAGTCTAAAGCTCAAATCTCAGACCTGTCTCTTATAAGTAGGCAAATTAAAAGCCTTAGTTTCTTTCCTTGACATAAAAACTGAATACTTAACAATCTTGCAGTGCTACTGAAGGCATTAAATGAGATACTGAAAATAGACTATGCAAAGCCTGGCATATGGCAGGAATTCAACAATTGGAAGTTTCATGTTAAGGGACCCTAGATTCAAGAGAATAAAATTCTTAAGAAAACCCCCTCACATTTCAAATGTTAGGATCATAGTTACTTACAGAGATTCTGAGCTGTCTTTGAATCCAACACTTTTAACTCTTTTACTTTCTTCTTTTGCACAGATTTCTTTTCTTCTCCACCTTCCTGGTCTTTCTTGGCTAGGAAGGGAAAGAATAGAAAAGCATGATTAAGAGTAAGCCATCTCTGTGCCATACTGAACTACTACTGTCAAGCCTGGAATGACCCCTCACCTCCTATTATAATGGTCTCCCTATAGCATTCCTGCAATAATAACCTCCTTTCAACCATCCACCTTTCTATACCAACCCCTTCCAACTACAATAAATCTTATTTCCATGTCTTTAAGTTATCAATAAATGCTTTCCTATCTACTTGCAGAGATCAGCAAATTTTCTGTAAAAATCAGACAGCAAATATTTAGGCTTTGCAGTCCATATGGTCTTACTTTCTCAGTTCTGCCATATAGCATGCAAGCAGTCACAGACAACAAATGAATGAGCCTGGCTGTGTTCCAATAAAACCTTATTCACAAAAATAAGTGACTAGCTTGCAAACAGTAGTTTGCCAACCCTTTTTTCTTTTGTGCCTATTAAAATTCTAATTATCTTTCAACCTCCATCTTGAACTAGATTTTCCCTATATTAGTTTTTCTTCAACTGTTTCTCTAATCTCTCTCTGAACCCCCATGGAATATGAGGTGAGCCCTGCAGTCCCAGCTACTCAGGTGCCTGAAGCAGGAAGATCACTGGAGCCGAGAAGTTTGAGGTTGCAGTGAGCTATGATGACATCACTGCGCTCTAGCCCAGACAACAGAGTAAGATCATATCTGGTAAATAAACAAGTAAATGTATAGCTATAAAAAGGAGAGACGAAAAATGTCACTTTTGTGGAAGACAGATTATATGTATCACTTCAAGACAATCTAAGGAAGAATTATTACAACTAATAATTCAGTAAGGCTGACAGATAAAAGATAAGCATATGGACTTCCAGTTCTATCAAAATGGAGTGGGCCTTATATGTAGAAAATATGTAAGACGATTATATTTTAAAAGTGGAGAAAACAAAGACACTTAAATGGAAATAAAGTTTCTATGCTTCATGCAAACTGGCAAAACACTGGTATCATCAGACTAAGGTAAGTTACATATCTGTTGTAATACCTAAAGCAACATCTAAGAATAGTCTTAATCAACTATTAAGGCCAGGTGCGGTGGCTCACGACTATAATCCTAGCACTGTGGGAGGCCAAGGTGGGTACCTTGCCTGAGCTCATGAGTTTGAGACCAGCCTGAGCCAGAGGGAGACTCACTCTCTAAAAAATAGTCAGGCACTGTGGAGGGATTCTGTAGTTCCAGCTACTCGGGAGGCTGAGGCAAGAGAACTGTTTAAGCCCAAGAGTTTGAGGTTGCTGTGAGTTGTGCTACCATGGCATTCTACCCATGGAGACAAAGTAGGACTCTGTCTCAAAAAAATAAATAAATGCATACTATTAATCAAAATACAATCTTAAAAAATGTTCAAAGAACCCACAGAAAAGTTAAGAAAACAGAAACAAACATAAAATAAAGAGTAAAGTGACAGACTTAAGCCCTAACATATCAATAATTACCTTTAATAAAAATCATCTAGATGTACCAATTAACAGAGACTGGCAGAGTACATTAACTAATAAGAAAAACACTATAGTTTCTCTTCAGATCAAACAAATCTTTTGCCTTTTAATCAAGATTTCTGTGGAGAGGAACGGAAAAAAAAATAGATCCAACAATATGTTGTTCATAAGAAACATATTTCAAAGACAGAGGTAGGCTGAAAAAAGATATATCATGCAGGCTCAGCACCCATAGCACAGTGGTTACAGTGCCAGCCACAAACACTGAGACTGGTGGGTTCAAACCCAGCCCGGGCCAGCTAAACGACAACTGCCACAAAAAGTAGCCAGGTATTATGGCGGGTGCCTATAGTCCCAGCCACTTGGGAGGCTGAAGCAAGAGAATCTCTTAAGCCCCAGAGTTTGAGGTTACTGTGAGCTGTGACGCCACAGCACTCTACCAAGGGTGACAAAATAAGACTCTGTATCAGAAAAAAAAAAAAAAAGATACACCATGTAAACATTAATTTTTTTAAAAAGTAAAAAATGGTTATATTAATATCAGATAAGTAGACTTCAGAGCAAAGAAAGTAACCAGAGACAAAAAGGGACATTATGTGATGATTAAAGAATCAATCCACCATGAAGACATAACCATTCTAAATGTTTATGAATCAATACTTGAGCCTCAAAATGTAAGAAACAAAATTAGAATCAGACAATAAAGAGAAATCAAGGATATTCAAAAGGAGAAAGAGGTCAAATTACATTTTTTGGTGATGATATCATCTTATATCTAGAAAACCTCAAAGACTCCACCAAGAGACTCCTGGAATTGATGAATAAATTCAGCAAAGTCCAGGTTACATAGTCAATGTATACAAATCAGTAGCTTTCATATACACCTACATCAGTGAAGCTAAGAATCAAATCAAAGACAGAATACTTTTCACAGAACAACAAAGAAATTAAAATACCTAGGAATATATTTAACTAAGGAGGTGAAAGACCTCTATAGGGAGAATTATGAAACAGTGAGGAAAGGAATCGCAGAGGATGGAAACAGTTGGAAACCCTATCACGTTCATAGATCAGCAGAATCAACATTGTTAAAGGGTCTATACTACCCAAAGTGATTCACAAATTCAATGCAATCCCTGTTGTTTTTTCAGATCTAGAAAAAAATGGTTCTACACTTTGTATGGTACCAAGAAAAGAGCCTGAATAGCCAATGCAATCTTATAAAGAATAAATTGGGAGGCATCAATCTATCAGACTTCAAGCTATACTACAAGGCTATAGTAACCAAAACAGAAAGGTACTGGCACAAAAAATAGAGACATAGATCCAGATAGGAAACCATCCTCATATTCTCATCTGATCTCACACAAAGCAGACAAAAACATACACTGGGGAAAAGAACCCCTGTTTAATAAACAGCACTGGGAAAACTGCATAGCTACATGTAAAAGACTGAAATAGGATCTGCAACTCTTACCAACCACTCAAAAGTTACCTCACAATGGATAACAGACTGAAACCTAAGGCATGAAACTGTAAGAACTCTAGAAGAAAATGTTAGAAAAAGCTCTTCTAGATATCAGCCTAGGCAAAGAACTTATGAAGAAGATCCCATGGCAATCATAGCACCAACAAAAATAAATTTGACATGATCACATTAAAAAGTTTCTGCCCAGCCAAGGACACAGTCAATAGAGCAAACAGCCTACAGAATGGGAGGATATTTGCATGCTATACGTATGATAAAGGCTGATAATCAGAATCTACAAAGAACTCGAGCAAATCACCAAGAAAAAACCAAACAGCCATATAAATATTGTTTGTTCAGTGACAGAGTCTCACTTGTTGCCCTGGGTTGAGTGCCATGGTGTCCCCATAGCTCACAGCAACACTTTTGCCTCAGCTTCTCCAGTAGCCGGGACTACAGGGCCACACAAAGCCTGGCTAATCTATTTTTAGTAGAGACAGGGGTCTCACTCTTGTTCAGGCTGGTCTCAAACTAGCAAGCTCAAGCACTCTGCCTGCCTTGACATCCCAGAGTGCTAGGATTATAGGTGTAAGCCACCATGCCTGGCAAACAATCTTATTAAAAGTGGGCAGGAGACATGAACAAAAACTTTTTAAATGAAAGTTTAAATGAAATGAAAATAGACTAATGGGCTTGACTGCTATAGCTCAGTGGCTAGGGAGCCAGCCACATACACCAGAGCTAAAGGTTTCAAATCCAGCCCAGGCCTGCCAAACAACAATGACAACTCCAACCCAAAAATAACCGGGCATTGTGTTGGGCACCTGTAGTCCTAGCTACTTGGGAGGCTGAGACAAGAGAATCTCTTAAGCTCAAGAGTTTGAGGTTGATGTGAGCTGTGACACCATAGCACTCCACCTGGGGCAATAGCTAGAGACTCTCAAAAAAAAAAAAAAAATTTTTTTTTTTTTCACTGCAACCTCTAACTCCTGAGCTCAAATGGTCCTCTGCCTTAGTCTCCCCAACAGTCAGGCAAGGCACAAAACAGCATGCCTAGCTAATTTCTGTTTTGTAAAGATGCGTCTTAGGCAGGTCTAGAACTTCTGGCCTCAGCTTCCTAAAGTACTGGCATTAGAAACTAGAAAAAGGCCAAGCACTAGGTAGCTCATGCCTGTCATCCTAGCACTTTGGGAGGCTGAAGTAGGAGGATCACTTAAGGCCAGGAATTCCAGACAGCAAGACTCTGTCTCTACAAAAAAAAAAAAAATGTTCAAATTCAGGAATGGTGGCATACCTTTGTAGTCCTAGCTACTTGGGAGCATGAGGTGGGAGGATCGCTTGAGCCCTTGAGTTTGAGGTTACAGTGAGCTATGATGAGACTATAGCCTAGGCAGCAGAGGGAAACCCTGTCTTAAAAAAGAAACTAGAAAAAGAACAAAATACAACCAAAACAAGCAGAAGGAAAGAAACAAAGAACCCAAATCAGGAACCATGAAAACAGAAAAAGAATAGAGAAAAATCAGTGACACAAATGAGCTAGTTTTTCCAACAACAAAATTCATAAAATAAACCTCTAGAACCGTGGTTCCTAACCTGTGGATCACAACCAATGAAAATACACCCTGCATATCAGATATTTAAATTAAGAGTCATAACAGTAGCACAATTACAGTCATGAAATAGCAACAAAAATAATTTTATGGTTGGGGGTCACCACAAGATGAGAAACTGTATTAAAAGGTCATGGCATTAGGAAGGTTGAGAACCACTGCTCTAGAAAGACTGACGAAGAAAGATTAAAAAAAAAGACATACCCATAACAAGAATGAAACAGAGACTACCACTATAGGTCCTGCAGCCATTAAAAGACTAAGGAAATGCTACAAACAATTTTGCCCTCACAAATTGAATAACTAACAAGAAATTGACCAATTCCTCAAATACCACAAACTGTCAAAACTCACCCAGGATGAAATAGACAACTTGGACACTCTCAAAACTATTTATAAGGCTGAATTTGTTATTTATTTATTTATTTTTGTAGTTTTTGGCCA